GGGAAAGAGGGATAAGGAAGAAACCGGGTTGTAGCTGGATTGTGGTAAAGAAGAAGAAACATGTGTTTGTGGCCGAAGATTGGTCCCACCCGAAGATAGGGGAAGTGAACGAGTATCTAGAGGAGATGATGAAGAAGATCAAGAGAGAAGGGTATGTAATGGAGGAGAAGTGGGCAATGGTGAAAGAGGACGAGGCCATGGAAGGGGAAAAGGAGATCAGGTTAGGACATCACAGCGAGAAGTTAGCTGTTGCTTTCGGGTTGATGTCTACAAGTGAAGGGGAAGATATAGTTGTGGTGAAGAACCTAAGAATATGTGGGGATTGCCACAATGCAATAAAGTTTATGTCTGCAGTTACAGGAAGAGAGATCACTGTTAGGGATAACCTTAGATTTCATTGCTTCAGAGACGGGGAATGCTCCTGCGGGGATTATTGGTGATGTTGAACCTGCGAACACAAAACCAGCAGACAGATTTGGTTGTAGACTTGTGTTAGAATTTCACCTGAGTTACATGAATATGAAAATATTTGATAAATAGGTGGCAGAGTACAATATTCAATGTCAAAAATATATCACACGAAATACAACGAGGATCTGCTACGCGGGGGGTGAATTTTTTGGAAGGATTTGATCTATTGCTTTAAATGTAAAAGCGCATGTATAAAAAAAACACAGATAACTTAGTTTTTTTTTTGGTATACGTTCCTACTAATGCAAAGGTTTGAGGTGGAAGACTTGACAGTTTGGCTTGTATGATCTCTTGGAGGCATCCTGATCAAACTTCTTGGTCGCGGCTTCGTTCTCTTCTAAGTTGGACTGGAAGAAAAATCGGATCCACCATGACGAGCTTCGCATTTTAGCCTGTGAATGCACCTTTATATTTAGTCCATATCGTTTAAACTGTGTTGAAGATATATGGAGTCTAACTATATAGAATAGACACAGAAAAACCCCTTTCCCTTGAGAAACTAACCAATATCATGTGTTTAACAGAGCTCTATGGAACGGAAGTATGCCCAAAACCCCAGACTTAACCCAAAAGCAAAGCTCATGATGAGATGCAGATGACTAATTCCAGAAACAGAGCCAATGATTCTAATGGGAGGGTTCTCGTATTATGCCCATTGGAAGAATGGTATGTATTCGACTTACCGGTCGTCCAAATTTAGACAATTGTGCAACCTTAGCTCTCTGCTGACCAGGATAACCTAGAACAGTCCAAGATACGACTTAGCCGCAGAAAGAATTGTGGGCGATTATCATTCATTTAAATACTTAATTTCAGATCCTAAGTCTAAAGTTTCAGGGTTAGTTACCTGCAAAGAGAACGAGGCCATCAGAAGCCACCCTCGCCAATTCAGGGACAGTCTTGTTAAGGTATTTAGGAGAGAGGTAATCAATAGCATCCGAAACAACCACAAGAGAGAATGACTTTGATTTGTAAGGCAGAGGGAATTTGATGTCAGCCACACGTACAAATCCTCTGCTCACAAGATTTTTGCAGTGAGAATCAGCGTCCTCCATGTCATATGGTTCGATACCCCATGCTTCTGTCTCTTCTTCCTTCAACAGACTGGAAACCACCGAGCATGAATCTGGGCCTATGTGCAGAACTTTGCGCATGCTGTCTCCATAAGCCTTTTTAAGAACAGGAATGGCGCTTTGGACTTCTGACGTGCAAGAATAGTCACCTGAAATTTGAAATCAATTCGAAGGAGGTTACCCCTACACACTATTTCCCCCACAATTACATACTACTGAACTTATGTCAAGCAACTGTAATGGTCAAAACACCATTTGATGAATAGTATTCAATTCAAGTTCTATGACACAAAATTTCACCAGTGTTTCCCACACCAAATTGACGAACCGATATCAACCATTGGCATCTCGGTCAAAGTGAAGAAACGCCAGAAGGGAATGAGAACATGAATGCAAATTGCAAAACGGAAATTGAAACGTCCAAAACCGTAGTAAAGTAGCTCAATTTGTGCAAAAGGCATTGACCCAACATTCTCTAAAAAAGGGAATTTATTGAACATGATCACAAATGCGAATATGAGAAATGGAGCATACCTGCGACCTTGCTGATGTCTTTGACACTTTTGAAGATACCTGTATCGGGGGAAAGCGAAGGCAACTCAGTCAAGCATGCAAGGGATCAAGTCAGAAGACAGAACTACAAAGCAAAGACAGGCTACAAGAAGACATCTAAGTACAATCAGTTGAGGATATACACACCTGGGCCACTGTAAGCATAACCTATGAGAAGGCATGCCCCCTGAAAATTAGAAATTATAAAACATAACACTGAGACAAATGATTTTTTAGGTCAAATAATCTATCATATGAAACAAATCAACGAAAAAGAGTAGAATGAAGCATATATCGTACCACAAGAACAAGGCAGATAGATAACAGTGGAGATGACCGTGACTTTGAGTGCAATGCTCCTGCAAATGGAAAGCTTGCGCTATCACCTACACGTCTCGTCAAGCTTACTGGCCGTCTCGACATGACTAAGATCCGGCAAAGTACAAGCTACAAAACCTTCAAAGCAATAAAACAACAGAATATGGATGATCTTTATTTTTATCCTAACATCCATAAAACCACTCACAATACGGCTCTTGCTCCTTCACGATAAGCTGGTTACTCTAGGATAAATTGACATGAAATAGCATTAACGAGCAAACGATTTGCTCTCGCTAATTATCCCATTCGTCGATACACAATCGGAAATCCAAACAGATTTTTCAATGCAAGGAAGCGTTCTCAAGTAGATCCGACAAATTAAGACACAGAACCTGAAGCCAAAACCGAACAAAAATCTGAAGAACATAATAGTCCCGTTCTCTCAGTTCAGCAACATTATAGCTCAAAGTCACAGAGCTTACAGGAATTTTCCCAGGAAGCAAACCAGATTACCCACAAATCCATGAAAACATTCTCAAAAATCATAATAACGCGAGAAGAAATCGAATTGGGGGGGGGGGGG